TCTAAATTGGTATAACAGAACAACAAATATATCAAGGCACATGTCTTGAATATAACAAGCTGATAACTAATACTCTAAGACTAAGATCGAGCTCTAATCCTCTACTCAAAGAAGTATTTTTCTACTAGTTTTGAGCTTTTATATACTATTTAGATAAATTTAGAGTAGAAACTATTTTATTTAGTAGTATGTAATTTTTACAAGTTTTTCACAGGCTTATAATAGTGATCATTAGAATAGACAAATTTCTTTTTTTTGTTTTTTTTCGATACTTCCTTACTCTTTTTTTTCTTCTTGTTTGTATCTTTCATCATATTCTCTTTACCTCTGTTTTATTTTTCTTTTGTATTTGTGCTTTTGTTAATTTGGCTCTTTTGACGAAGTGATGCAGCTGCTAGAGCTAAGAATCAGAGAGTTTATATTCTCAGAAAGTTGAGGATCCAATGTGAAGCCAATTGCTGCTAAGTAGATTGTACTTTGAGTTTAACTTGAGTTGATCTTTACTCACATAGAATATAGTATAGAAATTGTATCTTCCTGTTGATATAAGTTCTGGTATTTCTAAATAAAGAGTAATAAGCAGGACCGCTAAATATAAAAAAAAAATAGCTATATATTAATTAAAAATAAGTTTTTTACAAAATAGTTAATAGGGTTTACTATTATATATAAAAATATTTTTAAAAAATTAAAGTTTCTGTAAAGTCAATAAAGTTGTTTCTATTAGATTTTACTTAGATATACTAATTATAAATTTAGAGTAAAAACTAATTTATATAGTATTATATAATTTTACAAGTCTAATATAGATATATAATTGTGGTATTAGAATAGCAAATTTTGTTTGTTTTTTTTTGTTATTTCTCTACTTCTTTTCTTTTTTTATTTGTTTTTTTTATCATATTCTTCTATACCTCAGTGTTTTTTTTAGTATCTTTTTGTTTTTTTTTTTATTTTTTGCTTTTTAATAAACTTGTAGCTGCTAGCTATTAAATAAAGAGAAAAGGTTCTTAGCAAGTTAAGAATCTAGAAGAAGACTAAGTACTACTGAAACAAATTATATTAGCACTTATATATTGATATAATATTAGCGAGCTTTGTTTTGGTTAGACTATATTGTTATAGATATAAATTTGTAAAATTTGTTGAATAATTCAGTTTTAAATAAAATAAAGATGAAATAGCTAAATTACAAAAAAAAAAATATTTAAATCAAGTTTTTTAATTATTATAAAATATACTTATAATATATATAACTCTCTCTAATGATCACTTGAACCAACTAGTACTAAAAGCAAGTTAAAGACTTAAGGCTAGAAGTTAACAACAACTTGAAGTTTTTTTGATACGAACTGTTGTTAGTGAAGTCTTTAAATATGATACACCAAGAAGCAGGTGTTTGAATAGTTTGCAAAGAGGTCAAACCTTTTTCTAGATCTTCTTAGGTAGACTCCTCTTTGTGTTTAGTATCCAAACTAGAGAAGTCTTTGGGAACAGCAAGTAAAAAAGAAAACTCAAGAAGTTTGAAAACAGAAAGATACAACGAACTCTTGAAAAAACTTTCTTTAGTTGAAAACTTGCAAAACCCAAATTTCTCTTGCCACTTTGATGCTTTCAAAACCAATTTTCGATAAAAAGTAGAGAATTAGACTATCTCTGTCAAAAGATCAGTATTGTTTACTACTTTCGTATTCAGCGATTCTGTAATATAAACACAACAAACACATAGCTATATAAGAAGTAATTTATTTTTTATTTGGGAATATAGCCCCAGTACGTTAAGAATTTAAAAAGTTTTTAAAAACTTATATACCAATTAGATAAGATAAAACTGGAAGAATATGTAGAGTCGATATATTTGTTATACTTTGGAATAGAATATAGATTTAAAGTTGGGATGATAAAGAAAATTTGAAATATACAGTTTAACAACAACGTTATATGTATATAATTTTTAGCTCTTAGTATAGGTTAAAGTATATTTAGCTTAGTTTCTTTTTATATATTAGCTGAGTTCTATATAATTACTATGATTAAATAAATAAGTATCCTGGTTAGCAGTTACCAATTTGTTAGATAGGTTCTTTAGGTTTATAATTAGTACTTTAGATTCCTTTTATTAGTTTAGCTATTTTCTTATATATCTTGTTTTAAAATATTCTCTTTCTTGTAATTTACCTTATTCTATTTGCTCTTCGAAATTTTTTGTTAGTGAATTTTTCTTTAGATTGGTAATATATTATATAAGGCAATGATTTTGACAATGTCAGTGGGCATCTACTGCAGACTCTTAAAATATAAATTCTCAGTAAGTTGAAAATTCCAGACAAGATAAAAATAAACTACTTAGACAGGTCATATTTGGTCTTTCTTGTAAAACATTTTTTAAAGTTTTTGTTAAATAGATCGAGTGATTCTTTATTAATATAAACATATATAGTTCTATTAGATAGTTTAGTTACTATAGAGGTATTCTATACTGATTTAAATAATAAAAGAAGGATCACTAAAACAAAAAAACAAAAAACAAAAAAAAATATTTCTATGATAGTTTTGTATCTATTGTATATTTTTATTATATTTTTTAAAATTTTTTAAATTTTTATAAGTTTAATTTTTTTGTATTAATAGACAATTCATTTATCATCTGGTGAGGATCTGCAAATTTTATAAGTAAATTTTACTATTAAGCCAAATGTAGAGAAATTTCTTCTAAAACTTTTTCTTACTAAGTAAATTACTCTTAGACTTCTAATAAAAGTTGTAGAGCTCATCAAAATACATTTAATAGTGGTGAGAATACTAAAATTGACTTAGTAGTTCTTAAGAAATCTTTAAAAATGTTTTCATATAAAATTTCTTTAAAAAAAATCAATTTTTTTAAAGAAATTTTATGTCAATGAAATATTTTTTAAAGATTTCTCAAGAACTAGCAGGCTAATTTTAGCATTTTTACCACTATTAAATGTGTCTTGATGAGCTCTACAACTTTTGTTAGAAGCTCAAAAGTTGATTTACTTAATAAGAAAAAAGTTTTCTTTACAGTTCTTTAAAAAATCTTCACATTTACTATTCAAAGATTTTATATATAATTTATATATAAATCTTGTATAACCTGCATCACATAGCTCTCCAGATGACTGATAAATCATCTATTAAAGTTAATTTTAAGATTAGAATCAGGGTTTGAAAAAGGTTTTTGAAATATAAAATATTTTTACTTAGAACACCTTATATCAATTAATTAGCCAGTTTTTAAGATAATATAACAGAGATAGTAAAATACTATAGATATATTTTAGTAAAAGTAAAATTTTAGAAAATTTATATATAGAGGCCCAAAAAATGAAAATAATTACAAATAAAGGCCCAAATTGAAAATAATTATATATAAAGGCCTGATATTTAAAAAATATTATATATAAAGCCCCAAAATCATCATTAATTAAGTATATTGTATAAGAAATATAAGTTTAGTATAAGAAATATAATTATCGATTGTAAATTAGTACATAATTATAAATAAGAGAAAAAATAAGCTTTGATTTAATAAATTTTATTCATTTCATCTAATATTACCTATTTTTATAACAAACCTGCTCTGTCAAATACAATACTACAAATTGGTATAATATTTCTTGATATAAAAAGCATTCATTCAGCTTTAAAAAACTACTCAGTTAAAACCTTTTTGCTTTATAAGTAAACAAGCAGAATGACCAAGAAAACTTTGTATATATAGCTATAGAAAAACAGCACCAAAAAACCAACTTACTTGTAGTAAATATGGTAAAAAAGGATATAATATTTGTACTTATAGTCGAAGATATTGAAAAAATTAAAATTATTTAGTTTGAAGAAATATATATAAATGCTTAATTTGAAGAAATATATATAAATGCTTAATTTTTATAATCAATATAAAGTTTAAAAATTTTTTTAATAAATATTATCATGAAAATAATTATAACCAATGCTTTATTCATCCTTTATTAAAAAATTGATACTTTATAACAAATTCATTCAGCAATTTGATAATATTTAGTTCTCTTATATATATGCTTTTGTGGTATAGTAATTCCTTAGTTATATTTTTTCTATAATTGATGTTTTGGGCTCTTATATATAATATTTTTTAAATATTAGGCCCTTATATGTAATTATTTTCAATTTGGACCTTTATTTGTAATTATTTTCACTTTTTGGGTTCCTATATGTAAATTTCTCTGAATTTTTTTTTAATATTTGAAAATAAGAATTATATTATAGCAATATTTAATTTTAGGATTTAAAAATTCTGTACACCTGCATGGTTATGCATCCTCATGATCAACCAATCAAAACTGATCACGTGCTCTATCAAGAATTTTATAAAAAAACTTTATTTTTATTTTAAAAAAAAATAAAAAAAAAATACAAAGTGATGAATGTGAGATCGTATTATTATAGCAAAACTAACACCAGAATAAAATCTAAAAAAACAAGAACCAACAGTATGACTCAACAAACAAGCAAATTTAATATTGACAATTCTAACCATGAAATTGGCCTAGAAGAGTAGAAACGTTAATAAATATAGAAAAAAAAATACAACGTAACAATACAAACAATAAACTTACTGATCAACTCCCAATAATACCACTAGCTTCAATAAAGATAACAACTTCAACAATGAAATTAAGCTAGAAAAAAAAAACAAAAAAAAGAAAAATAAATTAAAAAAAAAGAAACAAAATAGAAATAAGAAATGAAAAAGAAAAAAGCGATGCAACGACACAAGAATAATACTTATATTGACTCTAACAAATATCAATAGCGATGATTCTGACAACTGCTTCAAGAATGAGGATTCCAAAAATGATAATTCCAAAGACACCACACAAGGAATGATGACAGACCCAACTAAAAATTAGAACTATCTAAAAAAAAAAAATAAAGTGTTAATTAAATAAAAAAAAAAAAAATTGAAAAGAAAAATAAAGAAGAAAGAAAAGCAAGAAGAAGAAAACAAAAAAAAAGGAGAAAGCATAAAGAGAAAATGAAAAGAAAAAAATAAGAAAAAAAAAAGAAAGCAAAAGAGAAAACAAAAAAAAGAAATGAGAAATGAAAAGAAAGATAAAAGGAAAGAAAAGAGGTAAGTAGAAAAAAAGAAATGAAAAGAAAAAAATAAAAAAGAAAAAGAAAAAGAGAAAACAAAAGAAAGAAATGAGAAATGAAAAGAAAGATAAAAGAAAAGAAAAGAAAAGAGATAAGTAGAAAAAAAAGAATGAAAAGAAAAAATAAGAAAAAGAAAAGAAAGAGAAAGAGAAAACAAAAGAAAGAAATGAAAAATGAAAAGGAAAAGAAAAAGATAAGTAGAAAAAAAGAAACAAAAAGAAAGAAATAGAAAAAATAAAAAAAAATGAATGGAAAAAATGAAAAGAAATGAAAACAATGAAAAAAATGAAGAGAAAGAAGAGAGAAAAAGAGAAGAAAAAAAAGGAAAGTAAAAAAAAAAAAAAAGAAAAAAAAAGCGAAAAAAACAAAATAGAAAAAGTGAAACAAAAAAAGGAAAGAGAAGGGAAAAACAGAGAAAGAAAAGAGGAAAATAAAAAGGAAGAAATAGAATAAATGAAAAGAAAGAAGTGGAAAAAGTGAAAAATAGAATAAATGAAAAAAAAGAAACAGAGAAAGTGAAAAAAAAAAGGAAAATGAAAGAAAAAAAAAGAGGAAAAAAAATAAATAATTGAAAAAAAAACAAAGAAATAATAAGTGAAAGTAGCAAAAGCAAAAATAGCAAAAAAAATAGAAACAAAGCAAAGTAGTAAAAGCGAATGCGAAAAAAAAGAGCAACAGAAGCAAAAGCAGCAAAAGCGAGAGCAGCAAAAGCAAAAACAGCAAAGCGAAAATAGCAAAAACAAAAGCAGCAAAATCGTGAGCAGCAAAAGCAAGCAAAAACGATATAAGTAAAAGTACTAAAAGTAAAACACAAACAATAAAAAAAAATAATGATTATTAAAAATTATTATATGTATGTGATCTCTAATTTTATTTGCTAATTATATAGGGGTGCACAACTATGCAGATGCACAAAAAACATTTTCTCTAAAAAAAAATATGAAATATATTTTAATTTTTCAGGCAAATTTGTCTGAATTACAGTTTAAAGGATAGCTTATCTCTTAAACTGTAGGCTTTTCTAGACAAATTTGCCTGGAAAATTATTATAAATATAATTATAATCTATTTTTTTTAAATTTTAATATATTTAAATAAATTTTTTTTTGATAATATTTGAAAATAAAGATTATATTATAGCAGTA